GGGTGCCCGCTCGTGTCTTAAATAATGTCTTTTCTTTACCAGTTACACTGAAAAGACGCTATTAATTTATTTCATATTGTCTGAGTGTCTTAAACCCCAACAAAATAAAGATACATATGGTAGTGTAAAGTAACAAATATTGTCTTTCTATCTCATCATTCTAATGAGCAAACGAGGGAATGTGGAACGACAGTTACTCTAGCCAGTCAGCATGGCACCGAACACAACAGGACAAACACAATTACGTTCAAACCATACTTCGACACAGGTACCCTTGCTTGATATTCATCAAGTGACTAGATGACTTTCATTATCAGTGAATGATAACTTACAGAATACATACACCTGCTAAAATATCCAGCAGTTCTTTCCCTTGTCCATATTTTTGATGAATTTCTTCAAACCACTTTATGTAATACTGCATAGCATAATTTACTGTCTTCAACAGTTAGTTTGATTTGTTTACTCTCGACTTTACATTCCTTACCACTACCGGCAGGGCAGATTTCGCACTGACCCTCCAGTCCTTTTAGAAGTTTATTGCATCATGCTGTTATATGACATGTCACATATCATATGCGTCAGGCAGGCTATGTTCAACTTTTGTGACTCTTGTCAACAAAGACTGCGGGATGCATGCTTACTCCTTTATGCAAAATCCCTTGATCTAAAGCACTTCAAGCATGTAATCTAATTTTCAACGGGAAAATGTTAACAAAATTTCTTATTCTTATAAAACATTTTAATCAATAAAATTACCTTTTATTTTGCATCAGACAGGCGTTTTACTTGTTGTTTCGAATTTTTTTAGTTAGATGCTTGAACACTTTTATTAAATGTTGTAACAACTGGAATCACTTTTAAGAACGCTAAAGGCGGATAAAGTAATGTATCATGCGAACAACTTTATAACGGATGCGTTTCTTTTATGGCATCGATTTTTCCTGTTTTGTAACTTACGTATATCATAATGCACAAAATAATTATTAAATCAATATAAGATCGCAATGCACGAAACTTTTCACGAGAAAATAAAGATATTATGAATATATGAAAATAATAGGATTTCATAAATTCTGACGTTAATGACCATATCACATTTTATCTCCTTTGATGGGATATCTAGTAACGCGCAATATTCGCGGCTGTCGTCTGTTCAAGAAGCTTCAACAACAACGCTTCTATTGATTTTAAGGTAAACCTTTTCTATTCAGGGTATATATTCATGCAGATACTGCGACTTTCTGCAAAACTAGTGGACGAATTCTTCAACTATAAATTATCTATTAAGTATATCATTTCAAGCAGGAGCGGGGAACCGGAGTGGAACCTCCAACCTATGTCATATTCACATGACCGTGTTTAAATACTAGTAAATGCTATATTTGTTTTCCTTACACCAGCGACCTGTATTAATTAGAATCCATAATTATTGGCACTATAACGAAATTATTTAATAAATATAAGCTGCCTCTTTCGGTAAGTTTCGGTCGAAGAAAATGGTAAATGTATGTATGTAATCCAAGTAACATCTTGACAGGGAACAATTTATGTGGTGACAGCTTACCGAAATATATATATATATATATATATATATATGGAATATAAATTTAAGGTACTGTAAATTTATGGACCTTTATTTTGCATAACTATCCAAAGAAATTGATAAAACTATATTCACTGAAGAATAAGTAGATCTCGACACCTATTGACATAATGCACACAGATTGTTTCTACTATAGCTATAATATTGATGGGTAGTTGTCTTTACAATTGTCGGATATTGTCAGATAGAAGAAAGGCTAAACTGTCCGTCTATGATCCCTCTGACACATAATCAATGTTTTCTCAACAACATCGGATTGTTGTTTCTTACACACTGACCATGAATGTGTAAATCCAAAATTTTGTTGGTCGAAGTGTATAATAGAAAACCTTCAACCAAGACTATGATGAAACTGCATTTGGAAGTATGCAACTTCGAATCTCTGATAAGCAAGTCAAAATTATTAAGATGCTTTTTATATTTTTTTTATATTTATCAGATTATCAAATACAAGCATCGAATTTACCATCAAAATAGGACACAATTGTAATTTGTCCCATTCTACAAAGAGATGGAACGTTACAGGTATAAAACTGTCAATATGCAACTCTGTATTAGTGCTGCCCTCTTCGGCAAAATGTTGAAAGGAATCGAGAAACTTTGACAAAAAGTTCTGTATTTTCATCAATTCTTTGTCTGCTTAGTTTCGAAATGATAACAGTATAATAGTGTTAAGTAATTTGTTGTCATGTTATTGGAGAAAGTGATGATGTTGATGAAGAAGAATGAAGACGAAGTAAATGGTGATGATGATGATGATTATCAGGATGATGATGGTGGCGGCGGCGGTGCTGGTTTTAATAATGATGTTGATGATGAAAATAATGATGATGATGATGATGATGCAGATGGTGTTGATGAGAAAATGATGAAGATGATAATGATGAAGATGATGATGATAGCGGTTGTGGTGGTGCCGATGATGATAATGAGATGATGATAGCGGTGATGATGGTGTTAATGATGATGATGATGATGGTTGTATTGATGATGATAATGATGATGATATTTATTAAGGGCTTAACCCAATGAAATGCTGTTAACTGATTTGATATATTTGATAATTCATTGAGCATGCACCTTAAGTAACGTTGTGAATATATATTTGGTATCCCAGACATTCATTTACATATGAAAAACGGACACTATTTGTGCGTATGTTATTTGTTGTCCCCCCCCCCCACCTATCTTTTTCTATCTAAATTCATATGAACTGTGTTACCTGATATTTCATTACGGGACTAATTAGATAGTAGATTATTGTGATATTATCAAATTAGCGTGTGTTTTACTTTTTACGTTATACATGTAACTTACTCTCTGCTTTTAATCTAAAAGGTTTAAGTACAAGTATGTACGGTATACCTCCCTATTCTGTCCCATAAATAATAATTTGCAATTTAAGACTTTCACGACGGTCATGCATGATAGAAACACTATTCTTTATAATATAATACTATACCCTCACTGGCTTGTTTAACACTAGTCTGTTATTTCATCCTTAATATAAATATAAGTGTCAGTCTGGACATAATAAATTTGATACACTATCAGAGCTGTTTACTTTGTAAACATGTCATATTTCTTTTACCGATGTAATTCAATTTCGATGCATATTTACACGAAAATGATCAAACGATAATAATATTTGTTTGAGGATAAAATAAAGGAAACACCGGTACAAACTTTGTTACCCAAATGTAACCCGATGATACACGATAAATCAATTTGCTTAATTAGGCATATTTGCCCGAAAATATGTTACTTTTTTTATTTACTTCGATCAAAAGTTTTTTTTATTGTTTGGTTTATTGCGAAACATAAGCTAAAATAAGAACTTATTTTTTGAAAAACATAGATTGTATCAGTATAACTTTGTATATTAAAACACATGTAAAAGTTACTTCCCTTTATTTAGAGTACCCCGTTTGCATTATTTGAAACTGTCACAAATTTTACAACAATATTGCAGTTTAGTGAGTTTACATGAATAAAATGATGGATAAAGGTAGGTTCAGATGTTTATAAATGCATGCAATGATGTCGATTGTTGAACTCTCATTCTCTAGTAGTCTCAATATTTCGACTGCAAGACCGACCAACTTTACAAACTGATTCCACAGATGTCGGTCTATCGTCTATTAAATAAAAAGCCCTAAAGCGCACAATTTGTTGGGCTTATTTGCTCGTATCTTATGAATCAATTGTAGCCCAACACATTTTTTGCAAGGGCTTTTTATTATATAGACGATGGTCGCCCTTCGCAAAACATCGGGTCTTGCAGTCGAAATATTGAGACTAGAATCAAAGCATTCCGACAGAATAAAAACTAGAATCTATATCCAATTTATTATGACACGCCTACTAAACGGTGGCTCTTTCACATTTTGGTGATCTGTTTAAATGAGAGCCATCGACACTTCCGTTGCAGAGCCCTCGATGAAAACAAGTCTGAAAGAGGTACGAAATTTTAGTAAAATTATCAATTTAAAAAGATCATGCTTGTTTTTTTCAAAAATGGAAGAATGTCATGCCACGTAGAACACTTATCTCGTCATGTTGGGTGCAGTTTCGATAAGAAATACCCTGAAATGACGTTGCTAGAACTTTTACCAAATATAACCTTGTGGGTTTTCTTTTACGAGGAGACACGTTTTGAGTGATTTCCCTACCGTAAAGTAGATGCAGGCCCACTTAATCGTGCATACAGCATTGTCCTAACTTCCTCCTTTGGACCAACACAAAAAATAACTTACAGAACTTAGTTGGAAACCAAATAATCACATTTTTATTATTGTGATCGAGCCATCGACAAGGTGCTGGCGCCATCGGCAATGTGAATGAGCCCTCAAAAATGTGATGGAGCCAACAATATCATTCATTTTGTGATACTATGATGGAGTGTAACCGTTATTATTCGTAACTGATTAACATACACGTAATACGTATACAATTCCATATGCATCGTTTCACTGGGATGACATATTGAAATAAAATACTTACGCGATTTGATCATTCGAATTCATTAAAAATGTGATTATTTGGTTTTCAACTAAGTTCTGTAAGTTATTTTTTGTGTTGGTTCAAGGGAGGAGGTTAGGACAATGCTATATGCACGATTAAGTGGGCCAGCATCTACTTTACGGTAGGGAAATTACCTCGTAAAAGAAAACCCACAAGGTTATATTTGGTAAAAGTTCTAGCAACGTCATTTCAGGGTATTTCTAATCGAAACTGCACCCAACATGAGGAGATAAGTGTTCTACGTGGCATGACATTCTTCCATTTTTGAAAAACAAGCATGATCTTTTTAAATTGATATTTTTACTAAAATTTCGTACCTCTTTCAGACTTGTTTTCATCGAGGGCTCTGCAACGGAAGTGTCGATGGCTCTCATTTAAACAGATCACCCAAATGTGAAAGAGCCACCGTTTAGTAGGCGTGTATGATGGCTCTTTAAATATAGACTGTGATATAATGTTATAAACCTTGGTGCACGCACTTAAATAGTTTCGGTAAAAGTTTTTTTACAATGCACTTTAATGTGGCTCACCACACTATAATTATAAAAAAATCGTTCGACCACAAAGTTTAAAGTCCGTGTGAACAGGAAAATGCAGACGATAAATTAAGTGGTCATCTACAATGGAAATGATACAAATACACGAAAAATCACCGCGGCGTGATGCAGTTATTGTATCATCGTAAATCCGTTTGTTATTTGTAAAGGGAGATTGCTGTGCTAAAGGGTCAAGGGTTCAGGGTTCATAACCGGGTGTTATGTAGGTGTACAATGACTTGATAGGAAGAAGTTGATATATTGTCAAGTGGTGAAGGGCAGGCTTGGCTACTATAAAAGATTTAAGTGTCACACGTGACAGGACACACTAAATTAACCGCTGAAACCCAACTAAATAACTGGTAAAACATTCACTTATCTTTAGGTGTCTATTGTCTAATAAAGTCTATACTAAATACAAAGTAAACAATCGTGCTACCAATTATCATGACTTAACTTTATTATCTATTTTTAATGTGAAAAAAAAATTCTGTAAATGTACCTGAACTTCAAATATGCATAATTGTATCGGGTTTTAGATACTCATTGTGTTATTTCAGTGTTATTTCATGAGCTACAAAAGTTAAATCATTTAAAATAATTATTTGTTAAATGGATCAAATGGAAACTCTCTCAGTAGATTGATATATCCTTACTGCAGTCTGTAAAGTTTATATTATGGATTAATAAAGTAACGTACTGAAATCGATTACAGATAGAAGTATACAGAATACGGCAAGATTACCTGACGCATTTAGAAAACTAAGGGGTCCGAGTATGTATGAACGCGCGTTGCTACGCACCTGTATTTAAGGGACAGAACCGAGTTAAGGTTTAACACAAGTTATCAGTTACAATTTTTGATAACAAAGATAACAGAAGTTTTTGTGAAGATTGTACGGTGCTTAACATGTGTACATTTATACGGATATTTACAGGGATTTTAATTTAATGATAAAAATGTATCTGGGTGGTTCGTGTATGATTCACACATTCTAGTGGTTGTGGAGATTTAAAACAAGTGAGCATTTGTTTTGTATTATATGCTCATGAGATACTCTCTTTAAACACAAACATGTTGATTCTATGGAGCATACAGTGATTCTACTATCTTACAAAACTACTCAACATATTTTCTATCGGAGTAAGTAGATCTAAAAATAGAAACATAATAGTGATATTCGTGCGTAGGTAATTAAGGATTGTACTTATATATCTTTTATTAAAAAAGGTTATTATACCGCTGTTGACACATCAATAAATGATGTTTAGTAAATGGATAAATATAATAAAAAAAGTTTGATGAAATGAGTATATTTTGAAAGAAATCTGTACAGGTACGTAACAATTTTATGATCCTAGGAAATAATGGGTCATATTTAAGTATTACTTTCGTTTGAACGGATCGGTAATTATCATTGACTTTACAGGACTACATAATTATTATATATATATTTATTTTAACATTTATTGTATTTGTTATAACTGTATGTAACGAGATACTGTATATGATTGTATAAGTTACGAAAATAAATTATTCCCTTCTTTTTTACTTCTATAGGGTACAAGACGTTGGAGCAGTGCTTTCATGAAGACATGATAAGAGATTAGCTTTTATGTTTAATGTAGAAAACATGTGTTTAAAGTAATGTGAATATGGAGCTGATACAGAATAGGTAGAACCGAGAAGAGTTGATATTACCCGAAATCTAGTCAAGTTATATTATAATTACTATTGTGGATATACGACCAAACAAATCAGGAACAATGGTGAAGCTTTCGGTTGCCATGGAGGTGGAGGAGTTAGTTATAGCTATTCAGGAAGTGATGGCAGAAATGTCGGATAAATATTTAACGTTTGTTTGGCTCGGCCTTTTTGGCTTTATAGTGTTGATATTTCTTGCATCGCTCGTTGGCTCGTTATGTGGATTATCATGTTACAATTTTTACCAGAAGAGGAGAAAAACGTTGAAAAAGCGGAAAAAATCATATCATTTAGCTAAAACAAGTGCCGCCACAGAGGAAAAGGATATTTAAAGACAAGTGTTCTTGTTATTTGTTGTTATTTTGTGTATTTTTGTACATATGCTTCAGTACCATTTACAATGGCAGCATTACATACACGACGCAATTCTAAACTATACTTCGCCTTACATAATAACGTCTTATGCTTTTTCTGTAATTTGTCATTATTTCATTCATCTGTTAATTAGCAATATGAAATATTGTATTCATATATTCATCGTGTTTTATTTTAGTGTAATAGTGGCCATTTAAATACAACATTCCTAGTTAGCTATTTAAGGGAATTAGTAGGTCGGTTCACTATTAGTTATAATTGCCTCTATAGAACAGAACTGATAATAGCGAATGTGCTATTATTTTTATAATTGAATGTGCTGTTATTTTGTTATTCTGCATAATGTATTCCTGCAGTAAAGTCCGGATATACCATTGATTTATCGACTGATTTTAACACGGCTTTTATCAATATTAGAATTCACCGTGACCTTTATGCAAGGAAATATATTTCCTGCTACAATATAGAATACTGCAATTTGCTCGAAAACGATGTAATTAATTCAATTTAGTATACATACTGACCTTTCTACGGAGAACCTCTACTTAAGTTAATAGCTATGGTTAAATCTGAAACAACAAAATAGTTTGACGTGTAACTTTTCTATCTATTTAGTTAATTTACACTCATGTTGTTTAAATTGTTTAATCAGTTAATATTTGTATAAGATAATATAAACTGCGTTTGACCAGCATGTGTATTTATTTTGTACTAAAATGTTCAAACACGTTTAATTGTCAAGTTGTTAAAAGTCCTTATAATATGTACAATTAAGTACTGGATATGTTACTTGTACATGTATAGTTTATCAAAAACGTGTACATGGAGCCTAACTTAGAACGGAAATGTGTAATCGAAACATGTTTTCCTTTTGAAATTAAATTGTACCAAAATAGCAAATTAGTAAATTGGTTCATTGTTTCAACATGCTTCTTGGTACAAATGTAAGTAGTATTATTTTAAGCGCCCTGTAGCATCCTGTACACGAACATGATAAGACAACAATAATGTTGTTATTTACATTCCCTAGCTTAATTGGATTCCCCACCGTTACGAGTTTACCGCCTATCTCGTTCGTATACCCTGTGAGAAACAGTGTAACAGTTTCCAAACGCAGACCTGTACGTAAAGAATAGGTAAACAAAATTTTTGATTAAATTGTTACATTTATTGTATATAAACTGCAAATATTTCTTCAATATAATGTTTGAATACAATACTTCACCCAATTGTAATTTGAAATTTATTATTGATATGAAACTGTTATTATAAACGGCTTATTTAAAGGCACATTATGCCTCAGAATTCCATATTTTTGTACTTTTTGTCAACCTCGAGTTAAAAAATGTTTATAATGGATTCAGAGCATAAACGATGTTTTACAGCTAACGAAAAGGTGCCTGAATGAATGTGCAGTAATGTGTCGTAAATACAGTAATATGTAAACAAAGCAGTATTTTGACTTCCACTTTAATTAAACCTATTGCCAACAGAGCAAAAGAAGTAAAAGATTGTTCATCTACTTGGCAAATGAGTATTTTTGGAGACTGTAACAAGAAACAAAAAAAAAGTTTCTGAGAAATAAAATGACACCATTTCTTAGGCATAATGGGCCTTTAAAGTAAGTTGAAATTTTCGAATATTTTTTACTTTAAATGTAAGGTACGCTTCATACTTGGCTGGTATTCAACAAGTACAATTGTGGCAGAAATATTTTACAAAAAAATCTTGGCAAAACTCGGCACTAATGTTCATAGCAGGTGATATTAATATGAAAATATAGTTCATGCTGTTTATGTTAAAATTTCGGACGAATTTTTTTCACATGATAACAATTGCTTGCCTATTTGAACAGTTTGTGTTTATCTCATCTGATCTCATATACATGTATGTTAGTTACAAAGTACAGCTGTGGACCATCACTGTGCTCTAATTGATAGTGTACATGTATATGTAGTTTATGCTCGCACTGGTATACATGTACATTACACACAAATGCTTACTGTTTGTTGACTAAATGTACATAGCTTTACCGCTGTTAATGTCATTGGTGGCATTCATAAATGTAACATTTTTATATCTTATTACACAAATATGCCCTTATGAAATATATTTTATGTTCACTTACTTGTGCTCGTGCGTCATGCCGCAACTTATCAAATTTCGTATATTATATTTATATAAAAAGATCAACATTTGTTTACTTTGTTCAGTAATGCATGAGAATGAAAGAAATGTCTTATCATAAATTTTTTATATGTATGACAGACTGCGTATTATTTAAAAAAAAGTGGCATTTGAATAGTTTAGTAATTTAAAAAGATATTCAGTTTTAAAAGAATCGAACAAAATATTTTGTGAATAATGCTATACGTGTAATGCGTTTACTTGGAGCTACTTTACATCGTAGTAAACAAATTAGATATTGGCATAAGAATAAAGAGGTCTTGATAGTTCTTGATGTTATCTACATTTACTTCCCTTGACATATTGGGAAGTCATTTGTCGAGGACAAATTAAAAATAACCCCATTAAACCGATAGTAGAAGAATGTTTAAGTTTCTTTAATTAAATATATGTAGAGAATTAAATGCTAGCTACAGTAACGAATCAGTATTCTTTGATATTTAAGAGTTGTGAGAGATTTCTTCCAAGGATGGCCATACTTTTGTGTATAAAATGGCTGGTAGGGGAGGTAATTCATGATGTTTTAAAAAACAATCTACATTATTTAAGTTTTCAATATATAATTAATCTTAACATTTAGAATTAACTGAATAAAGAATAAATGTAAATTGAACAAGTTTTAAGTTACCGTCATAAACTGCCAAATTTGCAATTACGCTACAAACTCAGCAATGTTGCCATATATTTTTATGTACATTGTACATGTTTGAGCTCGCCAAACGAATATAATTTTGTTTTTTGTTAATAAAGACAATCCGTACTTTGGGTATGATACTCTATAATTAATGTACATATATACATGTATATATTTATTGCATGTTTGTGTTTGAACAAGCATAAATTGCATGTGGACCTACGATTATTATTATTACAGTTTTTACATTTATCTATCTAAATGCTTCGCATCTAGTCCTGCAACTTGTATTTAAATGAAATTGTTCGTCTGTTGATAATTGTGTATTTCTCACATTATATCAGTACCTCATGGGTTCATTTGTTTTAATGCTTTATTTGTTTACTTATATGTTTATCTCCATTGCTATAACAATGTTCATGCCTTAATTTCATTTTGAATCCAATCTGTAAAAAACATACGGTATATTTATATAAAATCAAATTACATAAAATGTTCGTTTTGTTTTCTTTATTGATCAATTTCGTTAAAATCAGATCATCGTTTTCGCTTAGTTACGCTTCGCTGCTAGCTAAAGGCAGTGGAGCGACAGTTAGGATATGATTTTAATAAGGTTGTTTCTTGATTAATGATTTCTTTTATCTATCATTTTCGATTTTTAATAGTCTACTCAGTATAGATTTTTCCTTTTATATCAGTAGAACGCTGGGTATGTGGCCTTGTGATTTTAAAAGAACTTAAGGTGTTTGTCTCAAAACAAAGGAATAGTAGGTCGATCCCTGCTCGAGTCACGAACATGTCTTGGCCTCATACACCAGTACTGGTATGTCAAAGAAACGGAATCTGGAATGGTTCAAATAAACTTCTAGTTTTCATCACTATTGTGCTAACATGAAATATGTTAACAGTCATCAATAATATATGGTTTACAATTCTTTATTGTAATAGATACACGAGGTTAAAAAAATGTAGCTGTAGAAAACCTACAATATGGCATAGAGGTTATGGCGATAATTATGTCGAAAGAACGAGATATAATCTCGTGCGAACGAGATCTCATGTCGTGGGACTGAGATATTTTTCTGATGGAACGAGATAATTATGTTGTTGAATTGAAATATTATCTCACGGAAACGAAATAATTTTGTCACGGGAATGGGATATTATTTCGCGGGAATAAGATACGTTTATTATGTCTAATGTCGTGGGTACGAGAGAAGGATTATGCAGTGCACATGTCACCTCTGTTCCGCCCTCTCGTAGGAACGAGAAAAGAAGTGTCACTTCTAAGTCTCCATAGATACAAGTTTTTTCTCTTTCCCTTACTTTTTGATTGGTATATATGTTTAAAGATTTTACTATTTTAAATTCAAGTAACTTTTAATCTCGATTTAAAATAAAAATATGACGGATGAAATAGATAGATGACAGCGATAAGGCAGCTTAATATATATTCAGTAAAATTTTATCATTTATTTATAGAAAGTGGAATCGGTATGTAAAAAGATACTTCAACCTTGTTTGACTTAATAGATTTATTATTTGTCTTTCTAATTTATTTAATAGAAAACTCCTTTAAATGGCGTGTAGTTAAATAAAATACACATCACTGTCGCGTGATATATAATAACGCGATACTTTGCACGTCGTACGATATCATGAAGAAAGAAAAACCAATACGTATAAAGCAAGTGAGTGACCCAACCTATCTGATTTACGATATTTGTCTTCGTAGGAATATTGTCATATTATTAAATACAGTGTATATTAAGAAATATTAGGTAATTATATCAAATTACCTGCACGCGCTTAAAATAATACAAAACTTTATTCTTCACCAAACAAGCTGAAAGATCGCCTTGTTGTATGACATTATCGTATATGAAATGTCGGTTGGACTTTAATATATTAACAAAATAAAAAAACTATCGAAGTAGTAAATTATACTGCTGAAATGCCTTTCAGCTATTAAATTAAATTAGTGTATTTCGTAATGTGCAGTAATGTATATCTAAATATACGTAATTAATATTTTCAATACACGGTCGAAAACGCAGTATTAAGGTAAATGATAACATGACATTTTGTACGGTTGGAAAGATAAACGTATGTAATATATATACAGTTGTCTCTTTCACAATTGATAAATGTCATATGTACATGTACATACATTTAAGGTTAAAGTGAAACAAGCTAACGTTGGTTTGAATATCCGTCAATTTGTACGTTTATGATGACAGCTCTCGTAAAATATAACATTCAGCGAGTTTATAATGCCTTGTGTTATAAAAAATGATCAAAGGTTTACTGTAACGACGGGAAAAAAGGATGCAAAATAATTAAAATATCTCAATGGATTGTTTACATATAAAACAGTTTTTTTTAAAAAAAACTACAGTAAGTTATACGCTTGATTTCAAGCGTTAAAGTAACCGCTTTCAAACAAATTTCGTCGTTAGTGATGTGTATGAATTTTGATAAAAGTTAGAGATACCATTTGAGGACAGCGTTGTTATAGTTTTGAGTGAAATTTTAGATGTCAAACTGAATAAGTTTTCAGTCATTTTGTAATTGTGGATGTTATCATTCGTACAAGGATAGATAAGATAAAAGTTGAAAATCCACTCTAAAGTGATATTTGTAGCTAGTGACTGGATTACATTGTAAAGTATGCCCCTTATACAAATATTTAGACAATGACGAAGATGCAGTTGTGTAAAATTTCAGGGGAACTAGAGAGCACTAGATTTATATATAGACACATCTAAGATGCTTATTGAAAAAAGGATTAACGAGTCACCTGTTGTTTCAAGTTGTTAAATATTTAGATTATTACTGGCATCGGTTTTTGAAACTTCTATCGACAGATTTATCTTCTGAAACTGTGTTTGTTCTTAAACGTTAAAAGATTATAAAATACGATGATCTGATAGTTGTGTATCATTTAGAAACACAAATTACACGAACTGATTGCGTCAATATCGCGTCATCACGTGCAAGTGCCACACGCACGTGTAATTTAAGGATTGCGGATTGAAAAATAAGTAAACAAGAAGGAAGATTCCATTTGTGTGTATAAATCAGAAACGATCAACCGGAACAATGGTGAAGCTATCTGTAGGAATGGACGTAGAAGAGCTTGTAATAGCTATAGAAGAAGTGATGTTTGAAATGTCGGAAAAATATATGAAGTATCTTTGGATAGGAATTGTGGGATTTGTGTTTCTGATCTTTTTTGTATCGTGCATAGGGTCAATATGTGGACAGTTTACATACCACTTCTATCGTAAGAAAAGACAAGCATGTAAAGAGAAAAAGGAGAAAAAGAAATCATATAAATTAGTGAAATCGAACATTAGATCGGAAAAGGATACATGTATTTAATTTAATGTGCACGAGTACTTGCTGTTTGCATTTTGTTTCGTTACAAAAAATATTTTATTACATATTAATTATTATTTTTGATAAGTTAATGTGTGTTATTTATTTATTTGATATACTTATGGTTATGCTCGGTTTAGGCATAGTTAAGGTCAATTATATACCGTCGAACTAATATTAAGAAGTCCTGTACCAGGACTTGTTTATCCTCAAGCCACTGCCATCCTTACACAGTATAACCTCTGTATAGCGGTCACCTGAAGAGCATTAATTTTACCTCTTCACAACAACAGCGTATTTCGTCCTACAATGAACATTCACAAAAATTAACCTCCCTAAAGCATCACCTGTGAACAGCAACAAAACATTTGTATATCATAGGGTATTGCTTTGCAGAGGTTGAATGGGATAAAAGCCGGGCAGTTTTTAACACACGATCTTTATTTTTATTTATTTTTTTGTTATTGAAAACGTCCGAGTCTTCGATTTGAGCATCTATCTACGCCATTAGCTCTTATTGAGTTGACGGTGCTAGCCACTATAAAAGTCGAAATGTTGATCGAAAAAGTAATTGATTTATCTCTGTACTGGCCATTATAATACATCTTGATAAAAAAATTCTAAACTGTTCTCTGAAATAATATTTTTAAAAATATTTTAATAAGACAACAAATTAGAGAAATAGACTATAAAAGATCGATACTATTGTTAGAAAAGCAATACGCATTCACTTTTGTGAAAATTACTCTGATATGTTTGCAATTTGTAATAGAAACTTTTGTGCGAATGCACAAATATTTTCAGTTAAACTATAAATATGTACGTTATCAGGAGTGTCCATACAATAGAGAATGTCAATGTGATACTTCACGTGTACCTCGATGGCAGTTTAAACAGAGAGTTAAGTATATATGCCATTCAATGCTATATGACATTTATCTGTTCATATATGAAACTATAATATATAATTAAATAATTTCAGACAAAATTTTTAAGACCGAATTTAAATAAGAAACCACACCCCTTCAGTCCTTAAAAATGACGTCATTCTATATAGCAGTTTATCGTTATCTTTGTATCATCCTTGTTTTAAATTAAAATTTAATTAAAATTAGAGCATATTGAAATCATTTTAATGTATTTTAGTTGAAAGACATATCGTATATGTTCGGTCATTTTCGCCCCTTATCACTTTTCCGATGTTGTGCTTTTACTGATCGTGATATCGGTCTTTCACGGGTAGTGGCGGTCTTTGCCGAGTCCTAAGGTCACGATCGGCGGCGTATACATGACCGCGATAAACGTGTTTTAGTTAAAACAATGTTCAATGTACATCAAATTATGAAATAGTTCACACCGGGATATAGATAATGATATGTATAAATTAAGATAAATAAAGGTCATAAGTACCCCAAAACAGGACTATACATGAACAGAATTTTTTTTATCACATGATGTCTCCTTTTTTCCATTGTAACATTCTGTTTTTCAATGTTCCATAACCAGTATGTTTCATCAAATTACACGTTTACATTACTTAACACAACATATGAACACTGTTATGACATAACATAAAGTAACGTAATAGTATTACAACCCAAGGCAACACAACTTAAAAGAACACAGCAAAACACAACAAAACACAACACTGCATACTAGGCATAACATTAAGTAACATATTGGACATAAAGTAAAGTAACATAATCTTTATTGAGCATAAAATTAAGTAACATAATCTTTGTCAGGCAAAAAGTAAAGTAAGCATAATCTTTATTGAGCATAAAGTAAAGTAACATACTATTTATTGCGCATCTAGTAAAGTAACATTATCTTTATTGGTGTTATAATCTCTATTGAGCACAGAGTTAAGAAACATAATCTTTATTGAGCATAGGGTAAAAAAATATAATCTTTATTGAGCATAGGGTAAAAAAACATAATCTTTATTGAGCATAAAGTAAAGTAAAATAATCGTTAATGGACATAAAGTAAAGTAGCGTTACCTTTCTTGAGCATAGACTAAAGTAACATAATCCTTATTGAGCATAAAATAAATGAACATAATCTTTATCTGGCATAAAGTAAAGTAAAGTTTTTACTCATTAATAGCCA